GTTGCTGAAATCTGCAAAAAGATGAACAAATCCATAACCCAAGCCACCTGAGAAGCGCAAGACAAATGCAGAAAACCACAACACAGGGCTACAACCTGGTATCAGTGAGACAACAAAAGAAGAAGTCCCATTGTGCCATCATATGTCACATAGGGCTTACAGTCAATTTCTCAACTCTGTTCTTTCCTGTGCAATCACTTTGATTATCATGGATGGAATCCAGTCCAGCACCTTTGACGTCCTCATTTCTTCAATCTATCTATCTCCCATTTCAATGCCTGTCTGGTGATTCTGTTTGTCTCTTCTCAGGATGTAACCAATCTCGCATTATCTTGTCTGTCTTATCACTTTCTATACTAGTGGTTGCCTAGACTCTATAGTCACTGCTGTTATCCTTTACAGGCATCAGCATGCCAACACTGCAGGGAATCACGTGACTATACGGTCCGGGATATGCAGGAGTGAGAGGCAATGAAAGAGGGGATTTTCTGGCTACAAAATAAAAAGCTACGGAAACACTCGTACTGGACAATGGAGGTATTCTGAAAACCATATATGAACAACTGTTGACAGAAGACATGAGATTAGAAAAAATAACATTGTGCAAGAATGTGTGAACGAGGAATTAAGTGTGGATCCAGCAAGGAGGGACGGATGAAAGGAACAGAATGACGTGAGTATAATCAGTGTGCTACAAAAACAGTTGGCATCTACACTTTAGGACATTTGCTGCAGGAGACGGAGCATCTATGGATATGCCCGGTGTGATACGTTGTTGATTCTTAAATCAGTAATCAATAAATTTACAGGACATCATAGAACCATGTTTTCATTTGGTTTCACTAGGTAATTTCACCTTCAGTCATTTGCCACTACTTCCTACTAATTGGTAAGTGCTCCATACCATTGTCAAAATCAGCATAAAGCAGTCTGCTACCAAATCAACTGCAGCTGGAATCAATGCAGGCACATCAGAATTAAGAAGTGTGGTTCACAACGCCTGAGCCACAAGGGCTGATTGACTGCTTTTATCCTATGACGTTTCAAGGTAACCGTTTTAGGCTAGATCAACCTGGGAGGAAATATTCATTACAATGAATTTTCATCGTAATGAGGAAATGAACCCAAGACCTATGAGCTGAATGCAGACATCATTATTAAATATCACAACATCAGCATCCCAATATAACGCTGCACTCGGGCTGTTGCAGAGGGCCCTAATATAACCCAACCTATGGGTTTAACAGGGATTATGGGACCTGTCCCCGAGTGATCATCATCCAAATGGCGGCACTTTGTGCTTAGTGTGATGTATTGGTGGGGTTGAACCTCAATCAATCATTATTTTATTTTTAAATGACTCACCTGCACAAGGGCCCATAATCATGGAAATCTGTGGGATAACTCCTGATGACTCCACATTTCGCTGAAATTTCACCCAAAAGATAATAATAAATGTACAGTCATTTCTGTCAATAGTTAATATGTGTTGTTTTCCTCTCTAGATAATACATGTACAAACAAATATGTCAATAGTTACTATGCATTGTTTTCCTCTCTAGATAATAAATTTCACACACTTTTGAAAACATATTTGGCCATTCTTATTCCTTTTATTATTTTTGTTTTATTTCACTCCAATCATCATTTGTTATCACATGTCAAAGACAGGACAAAACTTGTTACTCATTATATTATCTCTGTGTTTCATCTTGTTCTCATGTGTTGTCAAATTCTAACATTCCCAGCTAAACAGTCTTCATTAAAAGGTGTTCAGAGGCACTCAAGATTAGACTGCCCTCGCTAAGTTCACAGAGATTTTATCTGAGCAAGTACACACTCCTGACCCCGATCTTAAAATAAGTTATCAAATGTTAAGCTGAGTTGAGCTGATGCAATAAGCGACATCACAGCACTCGAGGCATTCTCATTACTGCACTGTCCCCATGTTCAGCAGCACGTGCAGAGTTTCAATACCAATGGTGCCAGTAGCATTTTGATTATACGTCCATCTTGCCTCTCCTCTGAGCGTCGAGCATCGGTCACATCCCCTCATCACTCCCTACTGCATCACTCTCACCAGACTGTGGTGATCTATTTGCTCCTCCGAATTGTACATGTTCTCCCACAAGGCCCTAACCATGTCTGGCTTATCATGCATTAATACTCCACCAAGTTGTGCAGAGCCAGCCAGTCTGTCTGACTGTTCATTTCTCAACACACCGGTATTCCCAGATAAAAGATCAAGACAATGCTCCCCACCTGTGACCTCTAAAGTGAAGTATGCCACTCTGCATGAAGCATGCCTGTCTTCACCTTTCTCAGCATGCTTTCTGAGTCAGTTACAATCATGATGTGTGTGTGTCATGTTCTCTAGCCAGCGAAAAGCTGCAGTTATCAAAGGTAAGGTCTACTTCACAAAGCACTGCTCTTCCATCTTTGACTTTTCTCAACTCAAGCTGGGCTATCTTTACTATCAATCAGGTGCCGTCTCCACAATAAAGGCTGCCTGCACTAGATCATTACCTTGCTCTGTTTTCACCATAGACACACACTCTAAGACTACTTTCCGTCCATCTCTTGATATTATCCTACCATATGTATCACTGTCTGACTCTTGCTTGTTTGCATTCAACTTCTCCCTGTAGTATGGTGTTTTAAAAACAATGGTCAAAATATGTCAGATGCCTTTTTAAAAAATAAAAAGCTTTCAGCAAATTTAACTTTTCTTTCTTATTTGGGGGCCCCCAGAATCCATATTGGGAGTTTAGGATTCAAAGTCATAACAATGGCACTATGCCAGAGTCATCTTGGTCTAGGATTCAAAGTCATATCAATGGCACTATGCCAGAGTCGCTTACGTCTAGGATTCAGAGTTATATCAATGGCACTATGCCAGAGTCACCTAAGTCTGCGATTCAAAGTTATATCAATGGCACCATGCCAGTCACCTAAGTCTAGGATTCGAAATCATAACAATGGCACTTTACCAGAGTCACCTAAGTCTAGGATTCAAAGTCATAACAATGGCACTATGCCAGAGTCATCTTGGTCTAGGATTCAAAGTCATATCAATGGCACTATGCCAGAGTCACTTACGTCTAGGATTCAGAGTTATATCAATGGCACTATGCCAGAGTCACCTAAGTCTGCGATTCAAAGTTATATCAATGGCACCATGCCAGTCACCTAAGTCTAGGATTCGAAGTCATAACAATGGCACTATACCAGAGTCACCTAAGTCTAGGATTCAAAGTCATAACAATGGCACTATGCCAGAGTCATCTTGGTCTAGGATTCAAAGTCATATCAATGGCACTATGCCAGAGTCACTTACGTCTAAGATTCAGAGTTATATCAATGGCACTATGCCAGAGTCACCTAAGTCTAGGATTCAAAGTTATATCAATGGCACCATGCCAGTCACCTAAGTCTAGGATTCGAAGTCATAACAATGGCACTATACCAGAGTCACCTAAGTCTAGGATTCAAAGTCATAAAAATAGCACTATGCCAGAGTCACCTAAGTCTAGGATTCAAAGTCATAAAAATGGCACTAGCCAGTCACCTAAGTCTAAGATTCAAAGTCATATCAATGGCACTATGCCAGAGTCACCTAAATCTACGATTCAAAGTCATAACAATGGCACTATGCCAGAGTCACCTAAGTTTACGATTTAAAGTCATAACAATGGCACTAGCCAGTCACCTAAGTCTAGGATTCAAAGTCATAACAATGGCACTATGCCAGAGTCACCTAAGTCTAGGATTCAAAGTCATAACAATGGCACTAGCCAGTCACCTAAGTCTAAGGTTCAAAGTCATAACAATGGCACTAGCCAGTCACCTAAGTCTGGGATTCAAAGTCATAACAATGGCACTATGCCAGAGTCACCTAAGTCTAGGATTCAAAGTCATAACAATGGCACTAGCCAGTCACCTAAGTCTAGGATTCAAAGTCATAACAATGGCACTATGCCAGAGTCACCTAAGTTTACAATTTAAAGTCATAACAATGGCACTAGCCAGTCACCTAAGTCTAAGGTTCAAAGTCATAACAATGGCACTAGCCAGTCACTAAGTCTAGGATTCAAAGTCATAACAATGGCACTAGCCAGTCACTAAGTCTAGGATTCGTTGTAAATTTAAATAATGTAGACTAGTGATTCTCAAACTGCCGGCACGACCCTTTTTAGGGTCGAATGACCCTTTCACAGTTTGAAGTTTTGAAGGAAATAATTTTTTGGGGGTCGCCACAACATGAGGGAACTGTATTTAAGAGTCACGACATTAGGAACGTTGAGAGCCACTGGTGTAGACACAAACAAAACTTTGCACAATTTACTGCCTAGCTGTATCTCGTCAGGTGCAGTACTACAGAGTTAAATCAACAAATAATGATGCATAAACTGAATCTTTTTGTTGTTGCTGAAATGCATAAACCACATTGTCGAGTTGTGTATATCTATCCATGGTAATCACGAGAGATTTCCAGCAGATAGATGTACACAACTCGACAACTGGGTTAAATACTGTGAAATTTGAGATGCAATAAATTGTGCAATGTACTGTTTGTGTGCACATTATTTAAACCTATGATTAGTTGTCTATTTCAACATGATATTAACGGGCAGTGGCTTTACTTCCTTCTCCCTCCCCAAATATGGTCACAGAACCCGCATGGAGACACTTACTGAAATAAAACATGTCACTAGTAAATTATAACATCCCCGTGTGGGTTCTGGGGCCCCACTGTAGGGGGAAACAAGAATAGACCCACTGTGTCTCCAACAAGCATGTCGTAGGCGATGACTAATTGGGTTCACCCTTTAAAGTCCGAGTGCATCTGCCCTAGCAAGGAACAATCATATGCACATAAATAAGCCACTAAAAGAGAGGTACACCCAAAACCGAGCCAAAGTTCAAATGGACAAACAACCAGGATTTTACATCACAGCTTCCACCCAGTAAACACAAAGAAAAAATAACAACAGACTGACCTGGAAGATGTCTGCATAACCCGCCAGTGACTCCACCCCTTCCTGAATCCGAGCACCACCTGAATCGTTGAGCCCTATCACTGGAGCTCCCACCAATACTGCTTGGTCCATTATCTGCAACAAGAAGAGACATTATAGATAACTCTGTACTGGAACAGTCAGTGGAGGTACCTCAAGATGACTACTGTGTGGGAGGACTGAGCACATATGGGAATGCCCCATGTCCTGTGAGATATTACAACCAATTTTATTTGGAACAAGTTGTCAACCAATTTTCTTCGGTGCAGAGGTATCTTCGGATGACTGTGCACACATGGGAATGCCTGATGTGCAGTGAGACCTTATAACCGACATTTCTTTGTAACAGTCACTAGAGGGGTGACTGCTTCATGGAAGGATTGAGCACTCAGGGGAAGACCCATTGTGCAGTGGTGTCAATTGTAATATTTCAGTTTACTGAAATTTGTCATTTTCTACATTTGTCCTTAAGAGTGACTGCAGTTTTCTGTGAGGCTGTGATATTTTTTTTTTTGCCCAACACATCTGATTTCAGCATAACCCTTATTAGTCAGCTTTCACAACATGTCTGTTAGGGGAAGGTAGTGGGTCTATTCTTACCCCGCCCCCAGCCCCCAATGTTGCCCTAGAGATTTGCAGGTGCAAAAAGCTGGTATAAAGGAAATATGTGGGATTTGCCAAAATGATGAACCTGAAAAAGAAGATACTCTGGGAATGTTAATGGATGACAGTGCTGAAATACTGGCATCTCCTTGGCGAAAGGGGTAAAATATCTAGCCAGATTTCTTCAGTTTGCACAGACCGACACAAAATGTATTCGTTGTCTGTGACACAAAGAGTTAAGAGGCTGAACAGTGTGTCTTGAATTTGCTGCTGAACTGCTATCTAGGAGTTACAGAGATAGCCAAACTTTTAGGTGGCTGCCTGGAGGAAAAAGATGGACAGATAGATATTCTGTTAGTGGCTGGAATGATACTGACAAGAGCCACCTTTACTTCCCATGACATTATTATCTGGTACCCACTTTAGGTTAGATTGACCTGGGAGGCCAGGTCAATTATAAAAGTATTCAAACAAAGCAAATCTGTCTTCTTCTACTGTTCGCCCTTCAAAGGGCAGATGGCAAGGAGTGTTGTGGTTTACAGCAAGGTTGTGATATCTGCAACTTTCAGTCCAGTAAACCATTTCTGCAAATCCCTAATTCATTGCCATTTCTAACATGCTTAAAGTTAAAGTCAAAGTTGAGAGAATCATTGTACCAGGTTTTATTCCACATAACTCTGTTTTTATCCGCAGGAAGCCAGACCCCTACCCAAAGCGCCACACAATGCAAAAATCCCCATACATATGTCAATGATGCCAAGGGAACTCCATTAAAACTGCACTTCTGTACAAATGCATGACTGTCAGCTTTTCCCCCCACTAAAACAGGGGCGCCTGAATCCATACGACATAAGCCCTCAACCTTTAGGTAAGCAGGCAAGCATCTAACCACTGTGCTATGGCAGCATCAATTTGCAGATATAAATAGGTACTGTAAAAAAAATTGACAACAAAAATATTCACCTTGCAAACTTTTTTGGCATGCGCCCCAGACAAGCTTCCTCCAAACACAGTGAAATCCTGAATCATAAACAAAAGGTATAGCTGATTATTTTAGCAAATATTCATAACCTTTAAGATATTTTTTTTTTAAAGTGCTGTCTCCACAATGAAGCTTTTTGATTTATGTATACCATAACCCACACTTTGAATATCTCTGCGACCACAAACACCTGAGCACATTCTGCAGACCTGCCCACTCTACCTACAACTTCGAAAAGACACCTGGCCTCAAAAGCAAAGTGTGCAGAGCAAGCTATGTGGAACTATGAAGGACCTGCTACTGACATGCAAGTTCATATAGGCAACCAACCTGATAGTTTTATCTGAGCACACGAAAGGGAATACAGAGAAGAAGAAGAAAAGTATCTCTGTGGCATGGATGAGGGTCTTCAAGATCCCCATTCCCCCAACTCCCCCTTAACACAAATAAACCCTATATAGAAGGCCAAATCTACCCTCTTCCGGTTGTGACAGCCTTGATCTGAGCACACGAAAGGGAATACAGAGAAGAAGAAGAAAAGTATCTCTGTGGCATGGATGAGGGTCTTCAAGATCCCCATTCCCCCAACTCCCCCTTAACACAAATAAACCCTATATAGAAGGCCAAATCTACCCTCTTCCGGTTGTGACAGCCTTGATCTGAGCACACGAAAGGGAATAAATAGAAGAAGAAGAAAAGTATCTCTGTGGCATGGATGAGGGTCTTCAAGATCCCCATTCCCCCAACTCCCCCCTAACACAAATAAACCCTATATAGAAGGCCAAATCTACCCTCTTCCGGTTGTGACAGCCGAAAATTTCCACGGGTTTATGACCCATTATTTTAACATTTGCGAGGCGAAAGGGTTAACAGCGTATCTGTAGAACTGTGGTGAAACTTTTAATTTATGCACAAAAAAACCTGGACTGTGCCCATTTTTGCAGCATGGCAAGAGATCAATGTATGTACACCAAACCCAAGTTTGCAAACTCTCTTCATTTACACCTGCATCTACAAACACTAAAAGTATAGTGTTGTGGTAAATTTGTGCTTTTCATTTTGACATTTCACAGGATTTTTATAAATGTAAACAACTGGCATTTAAAAAATTGTATTAAAATACCAATCTAAACCAGTGTTCTCCAACCCATCGGCTCTGTAGATAAAGATAAGGGAACTGATAGAGATATATTAATGCAAAAGGCAAGAGGAGCTTTCACAGCACTAGGAAATTTGTGGAGGTGAAAAGAAATTAAAACTAAAAGTGAACTAAACATTTGTAATTCTAATGTCAAATCAGTACTATTGGTATGGAGCGGAAACATAGAGAACAAATAAGGCAATTATTAATAAACTACAAACATTTATTAACTGGTGCCCGTGGGAATTTAATGGTATGACAGCATCACTAATGTAGAGCTGTGGCAGAAAACTAAACAAGTTCCAGTGAACCAAGAGGTGAAGAAAAGATACTGGTGTTGGGTAGGACACAGGTTTGAGAAAACTTAGAACATCTTTGCAGAGGAACACACAGAGGCATTAAAAAAAAACGACCAAAAAACACATGGGGAAGGGAGCTAGAGAGCATAGCTAAGCCGCCTATACTACGCACAATATGTACAGCTCTTTGTGAACACAAGACAACGTGACACCTCTCTAACATAGACTAGGCCGTGTCACAGGTGAGAAAGCAAGCCCAGTTACACTCTATTTGGGCTGGACTTCGTAACAAGTTCCTGTTTTTGTTTCTGTGTTTGGTTAGACGTCAGGCGGACAGCAAAACAACTTCTCCCGTTCTGGTGGGCCATGGGTGTAAAAAGGCTGAGAAACACTGATCTAAACTCCATTTCTTCCAACTGCTTTTTTGCAAGAATTAATCAATGCTAAACAATATAATGGAGTTTATCACAACAGGTGCTGCAGCAATTAAGAAGTATGGTTGAAAATCACCTTGACCTTGTTCCTACCTGAATTACCAAGACTAGACAAACCATGTTGTAAGTGGACACTATTAAAAAAAAAAAGACAATGATGATGACAATTCACCTCTGACTACTCCCAATTCTAGTGGTTCTCAACCCGCAGGTCGCGACCCTTTTGTGGGCTGAATGACCCTTTCAAAGGGGTCGCCAAGACCAATGGAAAACACATATTCACTGAAGTTATGAAGTAGCAACAAAACTAATTGTATGGTTGGAGGTTGTCACAACATGAGGATTTGTATTGAAGGGTCATCACGTTAGGAAGTTTGAGAGCCCCTACCCTATGCTGTAGCCATAACCACAGCATTTTTATCTTCTTTTGTTCTTCATCAACAAGTTAAACATTTCTCTTATCTTCAGCATGTAATAACAGATGATGGCAGAAGTAAAGTAAAGGACCCTTTTCTACACCTATAGGCATATTAGGCATATAGGGCTAGACCTATATTTTACAGACCATCGGCACTTAGTGGGTGCCTTTACTTTCCATGATTTGTACCTGGTACCCACTCAAGGCTGGGTAGACCTGGCAGCCAAATTCATTTTTGAAAAAAGTCAGCTCCCACCAAGACCCAAACCCACAATCTTCTGATCTGCAGGCAAGTGTCAAACCGCTGCACCATGTCGACTCCCAGATGATGGCAGAAGTGAAAGAGAAATCAAAAATAGAAAAGGAATGGGTAAAACTATCTTCAATAAGATGTGAACATTATCAACATCTAGAGAGATAAATAACAAAACTCAGAATTTTCAAATTATAATGTATGCTCAACTCTGTATTTTGGTGCAAAGATTGGACAATGAACAAGCAACTAGAAAATCATATCGAGTTGCAGCAAATGTGGGTATACAGAAGAGCAGGTCATAGGCACAGCAGTCTGGGAGAGTGTACAACCAAGAGGCACAGTGTCTTGGAGATCCACTGTAGCCACCCTTCACTGTGGAGATGACACCTGACTGACTGTTCTTAATCCTCTATTGAAGCTTACAGGTCATAAGTAAACTAAAATATGCAAGTCCCCTCCTTTCATTTACCATCCCCTGTAGATCAAGACATGGCCATAGCACAATATTCATCTGTCTATAATTCTCGTCCCCAATGCCCTTTGGGTTCCAAAGAAAGGGATGGCTAGCTGCATTATTAATTGGTCTTCTCAATGTGCTCTCCTAACCATCAAATGTGCTTTTAACCTCCAATTCTGGAATCACTGTTTCTGACATCAACACACTGGATATTCCCACACATGTTTTGTCTCTTTCCTCGGTAATCAACGAAGAGTCAATATGCTAACAGTACCAGTTTAAACCTGATCAAAGTCTCCCAATGTTTTTCCCCAGTGACGAATATTTTTCAGAATCTCTATTTCTCCCCTGCCTTCCTCCCCCTTTTTTTTCTCCCCATTGATTAGTCTTTCAATTCAATGTAAAGACTGTCTGCTCTATTGCACTGTCCGTTTGATCCCAGACAGCACTCAACACACCCTCTTTATCATAAAGTAGCTTGTAATTACAGAATTAGAGATTCTGCCAAACCATTTAAGTTATTCTCTTCTACATAATAATTGGCTTACAAAAGGAGACCTGGGTTTGAATCACTGATGTGGAAGTTTTGATTTTTTAATGGAAGATTTCTCTATTAGGGGCACAAATTAACATCTAACCTACCCAGTTTCTCACTAGCTATACAGCCCTAAATTCTCAGGCTCAAGACACCCTCTCCTCCCCTTATTCTACAATGCCCTAAAAAAGTGTTACTAAATGCCAGAAATGGTGTGTGTGTTTTTCAGTTCTTCAAAGGGTCTTATTCTTTCGTTAACGTGAAATAAGTTGTCTATATCAGCAATTTTGTCTCTCGTATAAATTTCAACCGTCATTTCTAGTTCTTGAGAGTTTATGTTCCAATGTTGTTCCTTCTGGACAAAAAGTTTACCTTAAAGTGTCAAATCTGGTGCAGTCCTGGAGTACATGTTCTGCTGTCTGGGGCACCTTTCCACAGGTGCACATCGCTGATACGCCTATCTTGAATTTTGTTGCATAGGGTCCAGTTATAGAATGTTTGTAGTTTATTAATTATTTGTGGCTGCCACCTCCTCAAAAGAGGTTGGCTCCAGTGAATATCTGCATCCACAGCTGTCTGGGAATGTTACATGGTATGGCCTCAATTTCTTCCTCAGTGTGACTCTCGTACCACTGTACAAAAGCCACAAGTACATTCTGTGGTTTATTAGTAATTGTATTAGTCATTCTCCTTGCTTCTGAAACATCATATACATTTTTTAACATGTAACTGACCTGGCTGAATACAAACACTGTACGTCCGTTGATAAGTCCACGACCTGTGACAACACTATCACCTGGGTACTGTATACAGAAGAAAAGGGAAAAACCAATAAAATGATGTCCTCAAGAACTATATACATTAACTCTTTCTGTCCTAAACAACACTATGTGTGACTTGATGTTATTCAACATGCTATGTATGTTTTTAAAATTTACATCTTGTCTTTAGTGAGGGACTCTGAAGAACCTTGAAAACATATTTATTTCCTGCAAGTGTTGCTCTAAAACTTGAAGCACAACTAAAAGAGATGATGCATTGTTACAGGTTTTCAAAAACATAGTCTTACGACCCATCAAAGATGCAAACAGCGGTGAAAGGAGAATGAGAAGCAGCAATGAAATTCATAATCTGTTTAAATCACCACAGATCGATGGCTTCATGAGAGCTAATAGATTGAAATGGTTGGGAAAGATGACAGAAAAGTAAAAACTGTATACATGAGGGAGATGAATGGTCGTAGACCACGAGGCAGACCAAGAAGATGATGGAGAGATACTGTTCAGACAGACCTGCTAACACTTGCTGTCACCAGCTGGAAAGAGAAGGCCAACCAGAGAGATGAATGGAGGTGGGTGATATCTGCAGCAATGAACCTCAATGGTTCAGAATGCTAAGGAAGAAGAAGAAGAAGGGTTGTATATCTGGCCCCTCTGGAAGTAGTATACCCATGAGTTTAGTACTGTTGTTCTCAACTCGCAAGGATATTAGCTAGGACCTTGTGGGACTGAAAGAGTTAACAAGTTAGAGCCTTAAGACTTAGGAATATTACTGCACACTTAAGAATTTTAAACCACCCAGCCCGTGCCTAAGAATTTTAATCTTCTTCTTGTTCCTCTTGGTTTGCCCTTGTGTTGTGGTTTAAAGCAAGGTTGTTATATCTGCATCTTTCGGCCCAACTCATCCGATTTCAGCAAGTCTTTAATTAGCTGTGTTTTATGAAGCTTGCTATGGTGCAGTGTTTTGAATTGTTAGTATGCTATCGTTTACAGCAAGGCTGTGATATCTGCATCTTTCGGCCCAGTTCATTGCATTTCAGCAGGTCCTTAATTAGCTGCTTTTAATGAAACGCTTGTTATGGTGTGGTGGGTCTAATCTCCCCACCCCTCACATGGGGACGCCAGAACCCAGGCGAGCAGAACTTCAAACAATTGTATTCGTTAGCAAATTAAAGTTTAGGAACTAACAAAAATACAACTAAGAATTTTATTCAGAAACAAATTGAAGTTTCAACAACTTCAAATGCATACACAAATAAGAACTGTATTCACTAACCCATTAAAATCATTAAAGTCTGCAGAATTAATGTTAGCTACTTAATGGTACCTCATGGGTTCGCTCTCTGGCGAAGCCAAACTTTTTTCAAAAATGACTGACTCCCAGGTCAACCCAGCCTTCAGTGGGTACCGGGTGCAGTCCTGGGAAGTAAAGGTGGCTGCCTGATGCTGACCACATAACCCATCCTGTGCCGATTTGTCTATAACAATATAGGTCTAGCCCTATACGCCTAAAGGCGTGGAAAAGGGACCTTCACTTTATTTTTTTAACTTAATGGTATCAGTGTTCAAAATCTGTTTGATTAAAGATTACAGATCAGTTCTTCTGAGATATTAATATAAAGAAATTAATCAAGAAATGATATCAATGCACTCAGGACATTCCTACACGTGCTCAGTCTCCTTCCTTAGCAGCCAACAAAGAGTTCCCATGCTAATAATACCAGCTGCAATATGACTAAAAGTCTACCTATGTTTCTCCCTCAGTATTGAATATCATCCAGAACATCTGCTTAGCCCCGCTGAATTAGTCTTTCAAGTTGTGGATACTCTGTCTGTTCTTTTTACACTGTCCATTTGATACCAGACATCAATATTCCAGTTACTAATTTCAACACTCTGAAATGCTACAGAAAGATTCTCAGAATATCGTGGACAAAGAAGAGAAGAAATACTGACATCTTGAAAGATCTGTACATCAAGGAAGATTGGCTAATAAACAGCATCCTGTCTCGGAAGCTGAAATATTCTGGCCATATCAAGCTCCACGACGGATTGGAATAAATAATAGCAGAAGGCATGGTACCAGGAAGGAGGTGCCGGGGCTGACCAACACAAAGATGGGCACATGATATAAGAGACTCCTAGAGAATAAAAGTGCATGAGGCGGGAGAGCTGGAAAGAGTTTCTTTCAGGCAGATTGTGATGACAGCGATGTTCTGCAAAGGACCTGCTACATCATCATCATCATCAGGTGCCTTGCCGACTGGCGTGGGCGATCATGCCTCTCCATAATCTGCGATCTCCTGCAGCATGTATCAGTTCATGTGCCGACACACGTCCATGCCATGCAACAAGACTGTCAAGCATCTTCTCTCGTTGTCTTCCTCTATCTCTCCTTCCACATATCTTTCCAGTGGTCGCAACATGTTCTATTTTCCCTCTTCTCATAACATGGCAGAAAAATTATGACTGTCTCCTTCTGATGTCTGTGATAAGTTGTCTTCGGGCTCCCACCTCTTTCAAAACCTCTTGGTTGCTCTTTTTGGCTGTCCAAGGTATTCTAAGCATTCTTCTGTAAAACCACATCTCCGAGGTCTCCAGAAATTGTTTGGCCTGCCTACCGATTGTCCAGGATTCACAGCCATATGTTAAAACTGGATGTATGTAGCCAGCAAGAAATCTCTTTCCAACTCTCAATGACAAGGATATATTGCACAAGATGTTTTTCATTTTATAAAATGCAGTTTTTGCCTGTCCTATTCTATTTCTTATCTCAGTTATGCATCTTCCAACTGATGTTATCCATGTGCCCAGATACTTAAATTTCTGTACTTGTCCTAAAATAACACCATCAACCTTTATTACACACTTAGGAATAATTCATTTCTTTGATACCACCATTACTTCTGTCTTCCCATTATTCAAACTGAGGCCCATTCTTCCACTACTACATGATGATGAATTTCAACACAATAATACAGACAAAAAAACACTTGTAACTGTTAGCACCAACACTAATGAAATACCTTTTGTTTCTCCATGCCAAAGTCAGCACAGTTATGTTCTAAGAACATGTCATACTCGATAAAACTGCCTTCATCTACCAACAACTGTACCCTCTCACGAGCAGTCAGTTTTCCCTGAAAACAATACACATGTAACCATCTATTATAAAGTTTCTCAAACTTCACATATACTAGGTATGATGTTAGAGGATGAGGTGACCTGCTTCTTTTTCATTACGTTTTTTTCATTCTAGAGTAGGGCCATTCAAATAACTTTACTCAGGGGTTGAGTTGAGTTGAGTTAAAAATTCACATCACAGCACTAGCGTGCTCCATCCTCCTCTTCAGCAGCCAGCACAGAGTTGCAATACTGATGGTACCGGTCACAATCTGGTTACATGTCCGTCTTGCCTTTCCTCTGAGTGTAGTGAGCCGGCCAGACTATAATAATCTTCTTTCTCTACTGATTCGGTTGCTTGCCCAAAGAGCCTTGACCACATCTGCCTTGTCATGTATCAATTCACCACCCAGTGGTGCAGATCCGGCCAATCTATCTGTCTGTTCATTACCCACTACGCCAGCATTGCCTGGAGAAAAGATCAAAATATGCTCACTACCCGTGACCTTCCCAGTGAAGCTTGCCACTCTGCTGGAAGCATCCCTGTCTTCACCTTTCTAAGCATGCTTTCAGAGTCTGTTACAATTACAACATGTGTTAACTCAGGGGTCAAAATGGTAAAAATGCGAAATGTCAAAGATCACTAATAAAATACAATTTGCAATGATCTGCTGAGCACTTGCTGGCCCTCTGAGGGGAGTATTTGGTCCATGGACCACCAGCTGAATAGTCCTACCCTTGAGAGACATAAGGTCCAATATGATTGATAGGAAGGCTGTTTGTTAAAGCTTTGGAGTGATAGACAGTCTGGCTACAGTTTGCTGATGTATTCACCCCACATGTGGACCAAAAGTGCATAGTTTCATTCCTAAGCAACTAGGTTAGGTGTATTATAAGACACTGAGCTGCAGATTTCCAATCTGATGCTTTCAACTGTGCCTTAGGTGATATGTGTTGTGAACTACAGTACATTCAGAAAATGGTTGGTAGTCTGTTGCCACAAAACTGATGGTGCCTTACACCAGTAATTCCCAAACTGTGTGCCGTGGCACCTCCAGGGAGAAGCGACCTCTTCACAGGGGCGCCAAGAAATATTTGAAAACACACAAGTTTCATTTTTGTTTATCTCTTACACACTTCTTCTTCACGTTCAGCAGCTGTAAACTCTGGCGGAAAGTTCTGGTTGTTTATCCACTTCTGGACTGCAGTCCTGTTCCAGAACCTGAGTGTTGCATGTGGTTCCTTGCCTCTCCGGCAGATGCACTCTGACTTCGAGGAAAGCTCCCAATTAGTCGACTCTTACAACATGCTTTTGGGTAGGCAGTGAGTCTATTCTTGTTTTCCCGGAACCCTTACGGGGAATCTCTTCCATATGAATAGTCATACTTTTACTTTCTTTGAATGAAAAAAAGGCGGAGCAACAAAGAAAAGTTTGGGAAACACAGCCTTACACAGTAATATGTATGTAATCATTGATTAGTTGTGACCTGCTGCTTTTATCGAGGATAAACTTCAATTCTTAACATCTCTGGTAGATGACTTATTCATTTAATGTGCGGCCAGTACTGCATTTCGTTCAATTCTGACACGGGACAGTGATAGACATTCATTCTGTTTGGTTTTCTTGGCTGGCCTGAAGTGATCTGTTCACATTAAAGCTGGAACTGCAACTAACCACTTCCTCTAGATAAAAGTCTGGAATCAATTTAATTTTTTTCAAACCGAGATCTTTATATACAACAATTGTCTGTCTAAAAACAGGACACTGCATGCTCGACTAGCACATGCATAAAATTAAGTAGGTACAGTCCCCACAGTGCACATATCAGATGGGACCACAAATGACATGAGCACATTCTGCAGGCCTGCCCACTCTATCTAGAACTACGAAGAGTTGACCATGTGCCCGAACCAAGCTAGCCTGCGACGTTTTCCCCACTGCCAAGAGAGGCTCCTGATGTCCTGCCTAACCCTAACCCTACCCCTAACCCTATTATGACAGCAGTGCATCTATTGCCAAGACACAGTAATTACGTCATTTGTTTCGTTCCCTCTTTTCCACTCCGTAATTGCAATGCGGCCAGGGGACTGAACTCCGACTAAGCGGTCGTCGCCGTCCAAGTAGCGGCCGTTATTGCAAGGAGAACCAAGTTTTTTAATGGCAACCATGCTATGCTGGGTTGTAATTTTGTAACTAAAATTAATCATAAAACCTAATTAAAATACCTTAATAAATATAATAATTTATTTGATCATTTTCAATTTAAAATTGTAAATAGCACTTCCCGTCACTAAAATGTGAAATTCTTTGCATAGAATTAACATACATTCTTCACTGATGTACCATTCAGATGGCTTTTAACCTACATCCAATTGTTATGATTTTATACATAAAAACTTAAAATATAAACTTTGACTACTGAAGTACCTCTCCAATATGCTGGGCATATAGGGCTAGATCTATATTTTATAGAAAGATGGTGGGTGATGTCAATATCATGCCGGCTGCCTTTACTTCCCATGACTTTACCTGGTACTAATAATACATAATAAATTAGATTATATAATAACCTTAGCAGAGCAGAAAAATCAATAGAAATCAGAAAGTCAACAATCCACTAAGATTACGTAAAAGTACTATGGGTATTCAGAGTATAGTTTAGTTTATAAGGGCATTATAATCCCACCCATGTCAAGTACTTAATGTGATGCCTAAGAAGAATACTTGGCATTTAGTGGCAGGACAAAATCACAAACACTGAAGTACTGGAAAGAGTAGGTACTACAACAGTCTTTCCATGCTCAGTCTACAGAGGCTCAGGTGGCTGGGTCACACCTGGAGAATGGAAGAGTCCCTAAGGACATCCTTTATGGCGAATTAAAGACAGGAAGAAGGCCGACCTCAACTACGTTATAAAGATGTGTGCAAGCGGGACATAACTGATACAGGTATTGAGGCGGACTCATGGGAACAAAATGCCATGGACCGTGTTATGTGAAAAGGGCATATCAGGAAGGATATGAGACGGAAGGAAGAAATGATAGGAGAAAGGATGAGAGCTGAGCATCTGAAAAGAAACAGATTAAACACACATGTTGTTAATGGTCCTGAAATCCCATGTTATCATTGTGGAAGACTTTTTTTGACACGGACGGGTCTTGCTAGTCACACTCGCCATCGACACGGGCTGAGTCTCATGCCTCCTCCTAGCGCAATATAACACTATCGTGTGGAAAGACTGAAAGGTGCCAATGAATGTCAAATGCTTTAGTAACATGCTAATAAATGCTAACATGACTGGCCACACTGAAGGATGTAAAAAAAACGCTCTTCTAAACAAAATACCACGTCTGCTAGCTAGTGCCAACTACCTTCTTGTGCTGCGTCTCTATACGCTGCAATCCTCCTCCTAACAAGGCTTGTTTTCTGGTCTCATCAATTCGCCGCTTGACATCTAAAGTCTGTTCGATGCTGGCCATGATCACCTTAAAGCGAACGCCAGAGAGCGCCAGGCAACGCTGGAAAACGCCGGGATATCGGCAGATACTCCTGGAGCAACCAATGAGGGTAGCCATTGTTGACAGTTCAAAGGTCACCAGTTCATCACTCACTGTAAAATGCGGATTACATGATTGACCGATTAAACAAAGTTTTGTTTCGGGTCAGAATTTTGTTGTATTTGGTAATTATAGATTTGATTTATTTTCCGTCTTTTTTCCCTTTCTTTCGAATATTGGGGTGACTTGTGTCGAACAAAGGGATGACTGCAATTTTATGTTCGTTAAATACAGGGGTGACTTTCTATGTTATGTCGAATATAGATGACTGCTATGTTATTTTGAATATCGGAGATGACTGCTATGTTATGTCGAATATAGCGTTGGCTACTACTATGTTATGTTTTGTTGAATATAGGGGTGACTTGCTATGTTATCTCAAATATAGATGACTACTATGTTATGTCGAAAATTGGAGATGACTGCTATGTTATGTCGAATATAGCGTTGACTACTACTATGTTATGTTTTGTTGAATAAAGGGGAGACTTGCTATGTTATCTCAAATATAGATGACTACTATGTTATGTCAAAAATTGGATATGACTGCTATGTTATGTTGAATATAGTGTTGACTACAGGTCCTTCTGTATATATAGAGAAGGCAGTGTGTTGACTACTATGTTATGTTCTGTTGAATATAGGGGTGATAGCTATGGTATGGCGAATATAGGAGATGACTGTTATGTTATGTCGAATATAGTGTTGACTACTATGTTATGTTGAATATAGATTTACATAGATATACATACTATGGTATGTCGAATATAGGAGATGACTGTTATGTTATGTCGAATATAGTGTTGACTACTATGTTATGTTCTGTTGAATATAGGGGTGAAAGGTATGTTATATGGAATATAGGAGTGACTGCTACGTTATGTCGAATCTAAGGGACGACTACTATGTTATCTCGAGTAGAGAGGGGACTAATATGTTATCTCAAACACGGGACTGACTGTTATGTTATTATATGTGGAATATAGAGTTTACTACTGTGTTGTTATATTATATCGAACATAGACGGTGACTACCATGTTATGTCGAAATGCGGGTGACTACTATGTAATATTAGGAAGTCGCCGTGGCGTAGAGGCTAGAAGCTTGCCTTCAGATCGGAAGGTCATTGGTTCGCACCCTGGCGGAGCCGGACTTTTTTCAAAAATGACCTTGGCTCACAGGTCGACTCAGGGGCAGCCCTGGATAGTAAAGGCGGCCTGCATGATAGTGACCGCATCACAATCTTGTGCCGATTGGTCTATATAATATAGGATTAGCTCTATTGGACCTATATGCCTAAAGGCGTGGAAAATGATCCTTCACTAATTTTGTATACCATAAAATATTACGTTATGTCGAATAGAGGGATCACTGCTCATATGAAAACATGGCACTCGAGAGCTCCGAGTCTTCCCAAAAAATGTGGGCCGGGGGATGCAGGATGTTTGACAATTTCGTTTTGTTATGTCTAATGTAGGCCTGACCGATTAGCTATCTTGCACTTAATTGGAAACACTGCGTTTATCTAACATCACAAGATGTTCAATAAATTAGAATAACATTAAATTTAAAAAAAAACGCATAGCAGAGTATTTAAAGAGCAACTGGCCAAGAATATGGTCTGAGTGTTATGACGATAGTTTTAATTAGTTACTACAGACTATGATTACTTTGACAATCTGCTCCTGGTTCTCCCATCAAGCTTCCTATGAATCTATTTCTAATCGATATTTAGTCAACTTTATTGCAAACATTATCCTCGGGGTTTTTGAAGTCTACAAACGCCGTAGACTGCGTTTGCACCAGATGTTCCCTATTATAGTGGGATTCGATTCTGCCGAGGGTAATAAATTTGGCTTCTCCTTCATTGCTTTTATCTAAGCCATAACCGCCACAAGAGCACCGGTACCTAGGGCTCAGATCCCCTGATCCCCCCCCCCCTCCCCGATCGCCGTCTGTGGCTTTGCGATTGCTCTTCGATCCCAGATGCGGACGATTTGGCAGCATACCTTCTCGCGTTGGTTTCGACAGTGGTACCAAGAACTGCCCGTTGAGAATCAATGGCAAACTACTGAACGTAAATTTGCCGAGAGAAACCGCAGCAGCGAAAAAATAATAATGCTGATGTTGGTTCTGCAGCATCCTGTAAAGGATATGCAACTAACTTAACTAACAAATCCCTTTTACCCATGTATAGAAACTTTCTTTAAAAGCATTTGTTTATCTTCTTCTTCTTCAGCATTCCGAGCCCTTGAGGTTCATTGCTGCAGATATCACCCGCCTCCATTCATTGCTCTAATTGGCCTTCTCTTTCCAGTTGGTGATACCAAGTGTTTGCAGACCTGTATCGACATTGTCTCTCCATCGTCGTCTTGTTTATACATTTCATATTATTTC